CTGAGATGGGAAACAGCCCAACCTTTTCCCCTCATAGGCCTCTTACTTCAGAGCTCACCTGCTCAGACATCCTGCACCCAGTTGGGTACTGAGGCACTTTTAAAACATCGGCCCACATATGAATATAACCTCTGAGCCCAGGTAAGAGAAACTGGAATTATTGAAAAGAATACAATTCCGGATTTCTCAGCTCTGGGCCCGGCCCTGCTTGAGCACCCATCCATATCCTCTCCTCCCACCCATTCAGTTTATTTAAGGTGGGAAACCCGACCTGTTGCCCAGGTCTCTGACACCAGGAAAGGTGGGCCCTGCCCCGTATCCGTAAGGGGTCTTCAGGAAAGACCCCAAACTAACAACATTAGCGTATGGTCTTCATACAATGAGAGGCCACACTGCCCCAAGAACTTTACTTCAGTGGACATACAGGCTGCTGCCCACCTATTAGTGACACTCTCTGGATACAGATAAGTGAAGACTAGATGTGAGGTCTCTAAGTGTTGACAGGGACAGAGATGGACAATTGCTGGTGGAAACGTCAGCCCCGGTTGTTTGTACCTGCCATTCTGCTGACAAGCTGGTCTCCTGGCAGGCGTGCACCCCAGGGGCATCAGGCATTGGATGGGTGCAGGAGCAGATACATGGCTGCTGTTGCTATGGCCACCATTCATAGAGCAAACGCCACACAGCAGCCCTGTGAAATAGGTCACACTGCTATTAAGTGGCAAAAACAAATTGCCTCTAGGGTTTCTTCATGCTTCGGGTTTCTAAGGTTTCCAGTATGATCACAATTCTTAAAGAGTTTTTCTAAGCACTTCTGGGAATGCTTGTCCACAACAAACAAGCTGACAGACTGTTAGAAGGAAAGCACCGTGTTCTCTCCAGGGGAACTCACCCTGAAGTGCCCAGGCCTCTTGTGGGTAGCAAAAAACATGTCAGCAAAGGAAACCGGTAGCTTTAGAGTATTTCTATTTTTCAAAAGTCTTTGGCAAGGGGCCATGCCAAAAAATTTTCCATACTTTGAAAAAAATTTAATTGCTTCACTGTGGCTTTGCAGGGAATGCTTTGTCATATGTAGAAGCCAATTTAGTGAAAGAAAAATACTTCTAAGGATGAATGTGTACTTTTCTTGATGGAAAATTGTAAACAGCTGGGTCTCACATGGATTGGTGCTAGAAGGGTCTTAGCTCATATTTTTTAAATTAAAGATCAGGAAGAAGAAGCATAGAGTCAAAATTCCAAGTTGATAGGATTCTTGGAAAATGAGAAGCCAAATTAATGGAATATATATGTTTTTTGCTTTGGTTCCCAAATCATTGCTAATGAGCAGAATTTTGCTAGCCTGTTCAGTAATGTATTAAGTGGTTTTATCCATTTGACACGTATCTGTCGTATGCCCCTATGTGCCAGGCGCTGTGCTAGTCACAGGCACATAACAAACATACAATGTTATTTTGCTTCATGAAAGTGGGATTTCATGGTTCTTCCACTTGCTTTACTTACTGATGTAAACATCACAACACAAAGAACTACCTCCTCATTTTTAATGTCTGCCTAGTGGCATTTCCCTGTCAAATGACTATACAGAAATTTAATCAGTTCCCTCTTGTTGGCTATTTCCATTATTTCTGGATTAGAAACAATATCACAAGGTAGCCTTAAACATCCCTGCATTCAGATATTTGTACATATAAATAAGAGTTTCTGAGGATAGTCACCTGGAAAGGAAATTACTGGGTCGAAGGATATATGCATTTAACATTTTGGTAGTGCTGATGAACTGCTGTAAAAAACATCTAGTTCAGTTTTAATTACTTCCAGAGTGTCTGGCAATACATGCTTTCTCAAATCCCTACCGACACTGAATATTACATGAGTTTCCTACTACTGCTGTAACAGCTGACCATGCATGTAGTGGTTTTAAAACAGCTCGAATTGATTTTCTTATGGTTCTGTAAGTCAGGAGTCCAGCAGGAGTCTCACTGGACTGAAATCAAAGTGTAGGCAGGGCCACACTCCTTCCGAAGGCTCTAGGGGAGAGTTCTGTTCCTTGGCCCATGGCCCCCGCCCATCTTCAAAGCCAGTGAAGACTGCATGACCGGTGGAGTCCTTCCCACATGGAATCTCTGACATGGAGTCTTCTTTTGCCCCCTTTTCCATTTTCAAAGCCCCTTACGACTACACCGGGCACACCTGGATAATCCGGGCTTCTCTCTTTATCATGCAGTCAGTTCCTTAACAACCTTAATTACACCCGTGACTTCAGTGTCCTCTCGCCACATAACATCACATGAACACAGGTTCCAGGGAGCGGAATATGAATATTTTTTGGAGGGGGGCAGTATTCTGCCTACCATAGATATTGTCGACCTTTTTCATTGTTTTCACTGTAAATGAAGACATGGTATCTTGTTCTTTTAAGTTGCATTTTCTTGATTGTTGGTGAGGTTGAACCTTTTTCTGTGTAGAGAAGCAAAACAATTTCTGTTACTTTAAGTTGTCTGTTCATACCCTTTGTCTCCTTTTCTACTAGATTGCTTTTTTTTTTTTTTTAATTTAATTATAAATACCTTGAGGGCGAGGACCTTCCCATATTCACATTTACAACCCAGTACTCCAAAATGTGGCGGATTCAGAGAAGAGACTCAATGCCTGTGGACTCTCCTTACCTCCCACTCTATTCTCTTGCTATTCTGCTTAGGAAGAAGTGTCAAGATGTTTCCAGCTGAACAGTCAGAGAGTTGAGTCTGTGTCTGGAAGGGTGTGGTGGCTGAAACAAGGAGAATCTTGTGGCTTACTTAAAGCCCAGTAGACTTCTCAGACCATATGGGCTCTGCGGTCAGACTAACTGAACACTCAGCCCCCCGCTCGGCCCTCGACTTGGCAGCCCTTCTGCCCCGCTCCGAGCCTCAGTTTTCTCACTTGTAAAAACAACAGCGATGGCATGCTGACATTTTAGGGTCACTGGGATGAGAACAGGGACAAGCAGCAACTCTTTTTGATAGGGAGAACCCTGCTTGCCACGGTGATCAGTGGGCAGAGCCATGGGAGGGGGCTCCTGGGCTGACATGAGTCAGACTCTGGGGAGACACAGAGAAGAGCGATTTTAGGTCTTTTTGCAGGGTGTCAGGCAATGTGCTTTATCCTGACATTTTAAAAGAAGTTACAGTAAAGATTTAACTTGCTTTTCAATTTTTCTGAGTGTTAGCCTTTGTCCCTTCTGTAGCCCCTGGTGGCCACAGGGCCTGGCAAAAGGGCGGTGACTTGTACCGTCTCCAAGTTGGTGTCTTCCCCATTATTCTTCAGAGGGAGCTGTGGGAAGATGGTGTCCAGTGGGTCTAATGATTTTCCTGGCCGGGAAACCCTTGCTTGGTGAGCAGAGCGGGTCTCATTCACTGAGGACTCACAGGCTGGGAGTTGTTACCAGGGCTGGGGCTGCAACAGTGCTGTGCGGAAGCCTAGCCTACTGCCAACCTGGACCAAATGCCTATTCTCTCAGGCCTGTGGTGTTGGCTATGGGACACTCAGACCTGGAGCAGGGACACTAGCCACTTCCCAATGACAGAGCTCCATTCCCTCGGCTGCCCGGCCAGGGCCTCCCTGGTGACCCCCAGGCCTACCCACACACTCTTATCCCCAGGGTTCCCAGAGGCCTGTTGGGGAGTCTGCTTGTCCATACCCATTAGCACTGCTGCCTCAGTTCACAGAGCACAGTGGGGACAAGCTAAGGCCATGTAAGCCAGGGCCTGCCCACCCTGGCCTTTGCAGGTCCAGCCCCACCCCCACCCTCAGGATGGAGCATGCCCTGGGCAAAGCAGGGAGGAAAGTCTTTCCTTCTTTCCCCCTAGAACCTTCTGGAAGGTTTGCTAGGGCCCCAGAACACCTGCCTCAGGAGAATGTTTCTCATCCATACATTTCTGACAGCTGCATCTGGAGCCCTGAGCCTCTTCTCCCAAGAGCTAGTGGTGGAAAGAGTTCTCCTACCCCAAATTAGCAATACTATCTTGGGAGGCCCTTGGCTTCTCTGAGCCTTCATTTTCCAGGGGGCAGCATGGAAATCGTAGTCCCTGCTGCTGCCTGCTGGAGGGCTCACACGTGGACCCCAGCCTGCGCTGGCCCTGGGGCGCGGTCCTCAGTGGTGGTTCGTGTCATGGCCGCCCACTTCTCCGGCCCTTCTTTCCCTCTGCAGCTGCAGGTTCTTAGGCCTGAGCTGACATAGCCCTGCTCCTATCAGTGACTGGTGACTACGGCAAGGGGCACAGTGGGTACTCCTGTGGCCTCTCTCTCTGGGCCTCGGACCTCTCTGGTGGGCAGATTTTCTTCCTTACTTCTCTCCCCGTTTCTTGAGCCAAGAGGGCTGGATGCCAGCCATGCCCTCCTCCCACCTGGAAGCTGGCAGCTGTCTTTGTCAGCCCCAGATTCCAGACCCAGGACCCTGAGGTGGGCTCCCTGTGGCCACCCTTTTCCTTCTCAGTCAGCAGGGCTTAGGCTCCAGCCCCTCCTGTGCAGCCACCGGGGCCTGGAACTCATCAGCCCCTGTGGCCACCCTTTTCCTTCTCAGTCAGCAGGGCCTGCTTGGCTTAGGCTCCAGCCCCTCCTGTGCAGCCACCGGAGCCTGGAACTCATCAGCTCTTTTATTAAACCCATCTGCTCTGCGCTGAAGTGCGGCCTGGCCCTGTGCTCTCCACCCTGGGTGTGTGAAGGGAGGATGTACAAAGAGGCGGTTGTGTGAACTAGGCGTGGCATCCTACGCCTAGGGCAGAAGCTGGGGTGTGCTGTGTGGGTGAGGGCCCTGCTGGACTGGGTGGAGGTTGGGGGCTGGATACCAAGGAGCCAGCTGGGCAGGGCTTAGGGTTGAGGGGCATTGAGGTGCGTCTGGAGACTGATCCCGCGCCCTGAGCCTGTGAGGCCAAGACTGGGGGATATGGAGGGCTTTGCACTTCCTGGACACAGTGGGCTTGCTGACCTGCCTTTCCTGACATAGCTGCTCCCCGCCCACCCAGGAGTGCATCATTGACGAAGACTGCGGACCCCGCAGGTACTGCCAGTTTGCCAGCTTCCAGTACACCTGCCAGCCGTGCCGGGACCAGCAGACAGTGAGTGTGCCCTGAGGCCTCTGGGGCTGCATCACCAGTGCCATGGGGCCCAGAAAAGGGCCCTGGGGGAGAGGGCCAGTGGCTCCAGCATTCCCAGCGGGGCTTCTTAGAAGCATCCTGTGGGGCGCCACCATGTCCACCCTCTTCATGATGCCCAGTGACCAGGAAGTCATCCGCAGACCTGCTGCCACCCCCACCTGCCCGTGACCTCTGGTCCCATCGCCTGCCTCATGGATGATGGGGAGGGGGAGAGAGAACAGAGTAGGAGGCCCCAGAGCAGACCCATCCCCGTAGACACAGCCAGCAATACCTCTGCAGCCCCTAGGGTAGGGAAAAGGCAGCTCTCGCCTTCCTGGCCTGCGGCCCATCCCCCAGATAGTCTTCCCAATCTGCCAGGGCAGAAGGAGGGCCAGGAAGACGCCAGAATACTTCCCTGATGGAGATTTTTCACAGAAGCACAAACTAGGGGAGCAAAACTCCCTCCACCCAACAGATGTTTGGACAAAGCCACATGGGATCATAGACTTTTCTTGGCCTTTTTCATTATTAAGACAATAACACAGCACAATAACAAGTCTGGAAGACAGAGGGCTCCTTCCTACCCGGTCTGGCCCATCTGCGGTCAGGCAGCCGCAGTTGTCCCTCCTCACTTCTCCCGCTGAGTGCCATTACCGAGCACAGCCATGGCAAATTCACTGTGCTAATTGTCATTCCCCGTTTGCGACTCCAGGCCTATGGCACCCACATGCCCTCCCATCCACGTGGCTGTCCCGGGCTTGGGCCTTCATATAATCAGTTTATAAGAATTGCACTGCTGCCTGCATCTGTGGGTCATACGCCGCCTTCCTTTCTGACCTAGGGACCTAATAAAAAGCAGGCAGGACACAAGTCTGCGAGTCCATCTGCAAAGACACACTACTATCCTTTAAAGGCAAAAATTCAAGCTGTGTAGGAAGCCTCAGATACATGTGTCCCCCTCCCAGAGGCAATTTTTCCAGAGTTCTGACCCCTCACGAGTCTCACCGCCCTGCTTCCACCTCTGCCCCCTTGACTTCTACGAAAGCCCCACTCACCCAGGACCTGTTTCCTCCTCTGTAAAGTGGGAGGATGTGGGTTAGCCCACCTGTGGCATCTTCAGGCGTTCCGGGCTGGGGGCGGTGACAGGCTGGGCTCTCCCAGGTCTGAGCTGGCAGGCTGTCGCATTTCCCCACCTCCCTGCAGCTCTGCACCCGGGACAGTGAGTGCTGTGGAGATCAGCTGTGCGTCTGGGGTCACTGCGCTAAAACGGCCACCAAAGGCAGCAATGGGACCATCTGTGACAACCAGAGGGACTGCCAGCCTGGGCTGTGCTGCGCCTTCCAGAGAGGTGGGTGGCTTCCCTCTGGGTGCAGGGCAAGCTCTACCCCAGGCTTCACCAGACCCCCCGGGCCGGCTCCCATACGCTTGGTGTGTGTCCCAGCCCCACAGCCTCTGCCCGCACCTGGGGTGGAAGACCATCTCCTTTTTCCCCCTGTGGAAGAAGGACTTGCGGTGGGTCCCGTTCTGCCACTTCACTTAGACTCCCCGGTCCACCTTCCAAGGCCTCGGCCAGCTCCTGCCGACCCGACTTTTTCTCTCCAGTACTCCTCGGCCCGTTTGGGAATCTCACTGCCCCAACCTTTCCCCCTGAGTCCAACCCCAGGCCTTTGTTGGTACTGTGCTCCAGCTTCGAACACCTTCCTTCCAGTCTTAATTCCCCCAGAACTTTTGCCTCAAAACCCAGCACAAGCCCACCTCTTCCAGACAGTCCTCCGGAACTGCTCCAGCCCTTCCCACTCATGCTGAGCCCATGCTGCCATTCTTGTTTCCGCTCATTCTACCTCTTCAATCCTGACCTCCACCTTGGGCTTGAGGGTGGAAGGTGGGAAGCTGCATCCCATTTCTCTGCTCCCTGCCCTGGTGCCTGCCCCTTGTGCTAGGGCAAAGGGTGACTGACTCTTAGCTGGTTCTAGGTCTGTTGTTCCCTGTGTGCACACCACTGCCCGTGGAGGGTGAGCTCTGCCATGACCCTGCCAGCCGGCTTCTGGACCTCATCACCTGGGAACTGGAGCCTGATGGAGCTTTGGACCGATGCCCATGTGCCAGTGGCCTCCTCTGCCAGCCTCACAGGTGAGGTCCCACCCGTCCTCCTTGTCAGAGGCCAAGAGTGGATGAGATGCCACCCAGTGGGACTCAGGGACAGGAGCAGGGGGGAGATGTGGGTTCAGTTCAGAGATGTCCTTGGGTCTTCCAGATGGAGGGGGCCAGTAGCAGTCAGACCTATAGGATTAAGGCTCAGGTGAAGGTGTGGCCGGGGGTACAGAGTCAGGCTCATCTATATGGTGGTTGAAGACTTGTGAGTGGGTGACCTGGGGAGAGGGTGTGGAGAGAGAAGAGCTGAGGACTGAGGTGAGAGCCCAGGCCCATGACAAGAAGGACACGCTGAGAAGGAGCTGGCAGAGGTGGCTGAGAAGGCGCAGTCAGAGAAGCAGGAGGGAAAGCAGGAGAGTGGCTCCCAAGCTGGAGGGCACCACCAGCAGTTAGAGGCTCCTGAGAGACCGCGAAGCGTCGGGGCTACGCCGTGGCCATTTCTCAGCGCACGTGCTGCTGGACCTCTCAGCAGCCACTACTGACCGTTTTCTCTCAGCAGAATCCAGGTGGCTGAATAGACAGAATTCCCCCTCCCTGCCCACAGGCCCAGGGCTCCCCACAGACACAGCAGATGAGGCAGTTAGGCCGTATCTCAGCGTCAGGGGAAGCTCCCGCCTGGAGGCCTAGATAGACAGGGGTTGCGAGGGGCACCTCGCTGCTGTAAGTTCTCAGACGCCCTGTCCTCTGAGCCTGCCCTTGAGTGTCAGTCACAGGAAGGCAGTTCTGCAGCGAGAGGAGGGGGGAGCTGCCCCTTGGGTTCATTCTCCAAAAGTGACTCTCCCTTAGGAATATTTTTTAAGTAAGGTGTTGACACAAAGTTAAGACTCTGATGAAGACGTGTTGGAGGGGGTGTTGTGGAGGTGAGACCAGCAGACCCGCCGACAGTGGCAAAGGGCGACGACACCTTTGTCTCAGGCCTGGGCCCCACGCCCAGGCTGTCCCATGTTGAGAGCCTAGCTTTGCCCCCATGGGGAGACATGGCCTTTGGCTGAGCCACAGCGCCCTTCTCTTCCCAGCCACAGCCTCGTGTATGTGTGCAAGCCAACATTCGTCGGGAGCCGCGACGACGGTGGGGAGAGCCTGGTGCCCAGAGAGGCCCCCGACGAGTACAGAGATGGCAGCTTCATTGAAGAGGTGCGCCAGGAGCTGGAGAACCTGGAGAGGAGCCTGTCAGTGGAAATGGCTCTCAGGGAGCCCGATGCCGCCTCTGAGCTGCTGGAGGGAGAGGAGATTTAGACCCAGGCCTGTTATGCGGGTAGACGTGCAATAGAAGTAGCTAATTTATTTCCCCGGCTGTGTCCTCTAGGTGTCGGCTCACCAGACTTTTTACACGGTCTCTTTCCAGAACATTTTTCCTCTGGCTTGAAACAAAATGAGGTGCTGCACACTTGTCCAGCTCCCCCAGACTGTACAGCGTGCATCACAGTTCTGGTGCCTGGGAAAAGGTGGGGTGTCAGGGTGAAGGCAGAACGGGGCTGCTAAACTGGTCCACATTACTGGCCGCTTTGCCTCTGATGGTTGACAGATGGCACATTTCATTTTGTTCTATGTCGCCTTGAAAATTATTGGAGGGGAGGGGATGAAAAAGGATAGAGAATTTCCTCATGTTGACCCTTATACATGTGGAGAAGGATGCCCTGATTTGCAAGTATAAACCTGGCGAAAATGCAACAAATGATTTTTTCATGCAGTTCTTCACATGGGCATAGGTAAGCTGTGCCTTCACCTACTGCAGGTGAAACATTCCGCTCCCTCCAAGTTACACGCATTCAGCCTTTCAGCAGTGCTACTCAGCCCCTACCTCTGTGCCGGCGAAGCAGTTTCATATCCACAATCAAGTCATGCTCTCACCACACCCTGGTGAAGGGGGCATTCTTCTCTCCATCTGTCGGGATCTCAGAGGCTCAGAGATGTCAAGTTGCTTGCCCAAGTCACACGGCTAGTGAAGACCAGAGCAGGATTTCACTCAAGTGTGACTTTAAGTCCAGTGCTCTCCCCACTACTCCCTACCACCCTTGGTGCCACGAAAACTACCCCCTAGAAAAAGGAAGAATGAGATTTTTCTTTTTTTGAGGCACATCTGAAAATAAGTCCACACATCCCTATAAGAGTAAACTTCTACTCTTAGAAACAGCACCGTTCTCTCCCTGGTGTGGGGGCACCCATCATTCCAGTGGAGACAAGGGGTATTGACACTGCCCCCTACGGCAGTTAGTCACATCAGTAACTTTGAAGGTACATGATTGGAGTATAATATATGCTAATTTGCCAGAAACAGTATTTGAGTAATTTTAGGTCCAGGATTATAAATGAAATTTGCAAAATCACTTACCAGCAACTGTGGACTGTTATCAACCACATGGAGAAAATCAGACCAAGCAAGGCTCTGTGAAATATGGTTGTAATATCCAAACTGAGAGCACTGAACTGTATGCTGTTCCACAAATGATATTTTCAGGTGCCGTGGACTGTTTCCATCATATATTCATCCAGAGTTATTAAATTTTAAAGTTGCACATGATTGTATAAGCATGCTTTCTTTGAGTTTTAAATTATGTATAAACACATATGTTGCATTTAGAAATTAAGCATAAATCACTTAAACTACTCTTTTATAGTTCTCGGACTTCCTTTTTCCTTTTGACTTAGAGTAAATATAAAACCTTTCCAGCCAGAAAAATAAAATAGAAATGACCTGTATTACAAATATAATCTCTTCTATGTAACTAAAATTTCCAGACAACTGAAGCATGCCTCTTTTAGCATCAAAATATTTTAGAAATGTTAACCATTTTTGGACGGGAATTAAGAGTGTCAATGTTTCACTGTCTTCCAAAAGAGTAAATGGAATGTGTATGACCCTTTTCTTGGGAGCCTTCTTTAATCAAACACATGTGTGGGCCATAACACAGTAAGATCTTCAGGGACTAATCATAAACTACTACATATTAAGGTCAGCTGGGTGGAAGCAGTCTACCTATATTAATTCATTTAATCTTCACTGACTCCATGAGCATTTTCATTTAACAGATGAATAAATGGAGGCTCAAAAAGATTAACTGATAGAGCTAGAAGTCAAACAAAAATAGTATGCAGTACAGTATGCCTAGGATGCCTAGGACATATTGATAACTTTAAGATCAAATATAGAGCTCTTCTCTATTCAATGTCAAAAATTGTCAGGACCACTCCAGATTCTAATTACTCAACAGATACTTATTGAAAGCCTGCTCAGAGCCAGGTGCTGTGATATGCTCTGGGGGTGCCAAGTTGATCCAAATAGGGTCCCTGAAGGCATCATGGCCTAATGAGGGAGATACGCTAATCCCAGCGCCCACAAACAAAGCACACAGCCCGATGTTAGAACAGTGTTATGGCAGCCTCAAAGTAGCACTTGGCTTGGGAGGCCTAACGTGGGAACTGACTCTCTAAAATGATAGGAGATGATCAGGAGGCCTAAGGGAATAAGAAAAGGCATTCTGGTCCATGGGCTGAGGGAGAGAGGCAAGAGGAGAGATGGTATATAGGGGAAACTGTAAATCGCATGGCTGGAAAACAAGGTAAATTTGAGTAAATGTTAGGAGAAAAGGCTGAAAATTATTTTAAAAATTTATTGAGCACCTACCGTATGTCAGGCCCTATATCAGGTGACAGGGAGATAATGGGACATCTTATAAAACTAGATCTCTCCTTCACAGACTTCAATATGCAGGTATATTACCTTGTTCCACTTTGTCATTATAGCCACAAAATCTAAGCAAATGAGAGGCTTTGAAAAATACTTGGCTGAAATCCACATTTAGAGTAGCTGACACGTCTCCTCTACTCACGATTCTAAACAGAATGTGGTAAGGGTTAGGTGGAGTTTGGTACCTGATTTTACTTCCTGCCTTTCTTTGGGATCCAGAGTTCCTGTCAAGGAAGACATGAGACGCTGTTGTTTCAGCTACCCAACAGCCCTTCTTTGCCCTTCTCCCCTCCCACCACAAGAGAAGCTGGAAAAGCCAGCCCCCATGTAGCTAGGGATGGCCACATGACCCAGTTCTAGCCCAGGAAATGCAAGGGAAAGACTGCCAAAGAGTTTCTGGGAAGGATTTTTTTCCTGAGTGACAAAAGGAAAGAGGCATACAGGAAGAAGTCCCTCCAACCCTTTCTCTGGTTTTCTGCCTTTTGAGTCCAGGGGTTTAAGATGGGCCATTTGGCACTGTGGCAGCCATATTGTAGTCATGTGACCACGATCAAGTTGGTGTCAGCAAGGCTGCATTCTTCACTGGGAAAGTAACCATTTCTTTGCCCTTTTTTTTTTAGCCTCTAGGGGTCACTCTCATCCTTTGGTTCATGGCCCTCTTTATCTTTAAAGTCAATAATAACAGGCCTTTTTTGTGTACCATCTCTCTGGTTCTCTGCAGCTGGGAGAGGTTTTCCACTTTTAAGGACTCATATGATTAGGTTAGTCCCACCTAGATAATCCAGACTAATCTTCCCATGTTATAGTCCTTAATCACATCTTCCATTATTCTGTTTACTGCAGAAGGATAAGACTCTGAGTCCTTGATGACGCTGAGGAAGAAAGCAATCCTGCTATCAGTCATATCTAGACTCCCGTTCAAATAAACCACCAAGGTTATTATAGACAAAGTTGCTGTTAGTCTTTCCATTATGCGAAGCCCAAAGTATTCCTAACTGATATAGGAGATACTTGCATAATGAACAATAAATAGCCAAAAGGGGAACAAAGTACAGCTTTATGAATCCCCAACTCACCCACTTTCCCACCTCCAATGCATGGCTCTGGAAAAAGCAAGTCTAGAAAATAAAGTGTTTTGGTGTGAGGTGCAGGCTTTGAGTCTATTCCCTGACCTGTACAGATGAGAATGGCTGGTCTGTCCACCCATATGGCCTCAGAATGAACAGTAAAACACAGTGTGATGGGACAAAAGCGGATGCTACTGACTCTTTACGGCTTTCCCTCTTCCTGTTCAGTTCCTTCTCCCTGTCTTTCCCTTCCCTGTCTCACTAGCCTGGTTCTTTGGGCTTTTGACAGACAGTCGGGAGAAACGGATATAGGACAGAAGGGTGAGAGTGGAAGAGAGAAGCAAAGAGCCCTACTGTGGTGTGAGGGAAGAGGGTGAGCTAAGAAAAGTGGCTGGGAAGGATTTTTAGAAGTATTTTATTAAGAAAGATTTTATTAAGTATTCTCGTAGCCTGCGTATCCCTTCCAGACAGTCAAGAAATGCAACTAGGTTACCCTGAGATTAATTTTTGATAGCTAGACTAAGTTTCTAAGTTCAGGAGGCCAGCACCTGTGGAGCTGGTACAGGGCTTGCTGAGAAGTGCCATTTCAGCAGTGGCAGCACAACTGCCCCATATGAAGACTAGAAAGGGGGTTAAAAATCCCTTTTTGGGAGATTACGGGATAATCTCCCAAAAAACAGGATATTCCCTTCCCTGACTCTCATGAAGAAGTTAGACTTATTTCTTTGGCTAAAACTTGTGAGGAGAACTTTCAAAGAACTTCATAAAATCTGTATGGGAGCTATTGACACATCACAGTGGGGTAGCTGTGCAAAAGCTACAGGACTCACTGACTTGGCACCAATCTACCATGAGAGAAGCATCGGGGAGAGATGGCTCTTTGAAGCAGCTACAGACAGGGGCAGAGGCAAAAAAAAAAAAAAAAAAAAAAGATGGATTCCGAAAGCATTCACATCCTGACATAGGGGTATGGAAGAAAGATGAAATAAGGGTCGAAGATCTGATGGGGACCAGTGCAGCATGGGACAAGGTGGTACACATTTCAGAATAATGCCTCTTGCCGGCATGAGGTTGGCAAAAGCGAGTCAGGTTTCTAAAGTAACACAAATGTTGTGGGGAGTTGAGTCCTTGGCTGGTGGGACCTTCAGGGCATCTCTTCATAATGATTATATAGTGACCAGATGAAAGGGGACAGTAACCTCATTGTGACCAACAGGAGGCTGCACATGTAAGAAAATATTTTTTTCCTTTTCCTTACCCCTTCCACTGTCCACAAGCTGCTGCAGGAAGAACAGGTGGGAAGAGTGAGCACCGACCAAACACACACTGCAAGCAGAGAGCAGCACACTGAGCAGAGCACTGTGTGTTGGTGGTGGTGGTCGTGGTATGCGAGCTTTGAAATGAATGACTGAAACTTGACTATCAGATTGTTTTAATAATGCAGTGACTTAAAATTTTTAGGATTGCACTGAGAGACTGGTAAGAGCCCACTTCCAATGAGAAACTGCATTCAAGAGAACAAGGTTGGCACAGTTACTGGAAAAATAGAGCCACTAAGTATTTTGTATCTCAAGTTGATACTTCTTAATGGGTTACTTAAGCATTATAAAAGAGGCTGAAAACTAAGTGTGCCCTCAGTACTGGAGTAAGAGTAAGGGGAAGGTCGGGAGCAAAAAAGCAAGAGTGTGGTCCCCACCTTTCAGGCTAGGCTATAGGGTCCACTAATCCCTGGTGGGGTAAATTCTCAGGCTCTGACCAATCAAAAGACCAGCTTTTGTACTGGTCAGCTGGTGAGGGGGAAAGGGACAGAGGATTCTACCCCAATGCTTTTTAGCCTTCCTAACATGGCCCCTAGTGATTGCTGTATTCTTTTCTAAATGGTCACACTTGCTTTAAGTGCACTCCTGATTTTGTCAGGTGTTCTTGATTGCTTCTGAAAGCTGTTTTGAAAATTAAAACTGTATTTAACCATATGGTCATGTGAAAGACATTGAAGGAATATCTGAGTTCACATAAACTAAGTTTAGGTGGCTACAAGCTTTATTTGGGCCATAAGCTCCTTTACAAACCTGATTTTAAAAAGTTTACTAATTCCTAGAAAACTATACATACACTTCTAGTGACCAAAATATTGGTTTTTCACAAATTACACAGAATTGTTTAGATGGAAGTTTTTATTTAGCAAACAAAAATTTACTAATTCAGACTCTCTTCTCATCTGTGTACTCTAGACTACAATTTACCAAGTCACAAGTGCAAAAGAATTGGTAAAGGTCTTGATGCTGAACAAAAGGACAAAATTCAGAGGGAGAACTACAGTAACCAATTGAAAAGGAAATACTAGCAAATGAACCAGAATAAAAGATTTTATTGTATTCCATACATTCACAGGTCACTTCCAGATTTAGTAACAACACTGCAATGCTGATGCTGCTTAGACCATTAGCTTAGACCACACTGTAAGTTTGTAGCTCTCTCCTCTCCTGGCCTAGAGATGTGTCACAATTCCTGAACCATGCAGCCTGGCAACCAAAGCTACTTGACCTATTTTCTAGCTGTTATAGGTTCATCCATTTTCTCAGTATTTTAAAGTACTTTCCGTTAAAAAAAGACCAGCTAACATTTTAGTGTAGGGTGTCCTTCACTATTTTTATCTCATCATGACTATCTCTTACTTTGACTTCCTTAAAGTAGACTTTCAACTAGCAAACTTCTGGACAGACCAGGTAAACAAAGAATGATCCTGTAACCATAGCTTTCGCTTTTTTGGCCAGAATGGCCCCTTTCCTTCAGCATCTGCCTCATAAATGTAGGTACTTGGTTCTCACAAGGTGTGCTGGTTCCACAAACCTATCTGCCGCACAGTGGAAGCCTTTAAAATCTTGGTGTGACCTGTGGGGAGCAGGGTCACAACTGACTGCATGTGGCCTGCCTTAACCTCAGGAGTCAGCAGATAAGCAATCACCAGGCTCCATACTCCCTGGCTAGGGCCCTTGATCCACACAATTGTGCTCCGCCTCTTGGTTCAGAGGCGCTCACTTGTTCTTTTGAATCTGAGGGGGGTTGACACACATTAACCTGCCTCACTTGGCCACAAATCCACT